TCCATGTCACCCTTCTGCTTTGCTTTGAAAGCTAACAAACGACTTTGTGCCAGAAACTTCATAAACTCATATAGTACAGAAGGACGCGCACGATTAAAAGTAAAATATTGTTGGCATCTCGCATTAAGTAATGTAAGAAACGAAATGAAAACGATCATAGGTAATATTATATGATTCGAACTTTCACTCTTTTTTCCAATAGTCATATATATAAGATAATACTAGTGAAACACAGGTCATATTGTTCGAGATTCTTCACTTGTTGGAACGTCCTCTGCTGCAAATACACCTGGCAGGGATTTATGATCATTACAGGTGTCACCTTTATATTTTTTGAATCATTAAATCCACACCGATGGTTACAGCATAATCAATAGTACGGTCTGAACGAAGAGATGTATTAGTATCAGGAACCACAAGTGCTAGAGAACAAGAGTTCATCCATTCAAGAAATCGGTCTGCTATATCCAAGTCCAAGTTTTGCTTGCTGGTGCATAAAATACAATCAGTCTAATTGTTTGTCCACATAGAATATCGATGACGCAGATATTCGGCAATGAACAGGAAATTCTAGTAGCTGTGAAATATCTTGACGTAACATAACAAGTACACCGCCATGTGCGTTGTCACCAACTTAATAGAATACCCTATCATTAGATAATGCAACACTTATTAGAGAGAGAGAGCTCGACATGTCCCAATTCTCCTGGAACTATGTATATGTAAAAAGGAAGACAGATATTGTCCATACGATTTTTGATGCCGTTCCCATTCTGATAATAGGTTGTTGAATGTACAGGGTTGCCAAAAATGTTTTTCCAGGGAGGTACAGCCCTAACAACTAGTGATATGAACAATGAATTTTATACCAAATGAAAGCCCGCCAAAAATGGGGTTTAGGGGTATATTTTGATTTTCCATAAGAGGGTGATGACTTGTAGAAGTGTGGAACTTCAGAAAATGTGAAGAATCTGAAACTAATAAAATGCTATCTCAAAGGTAAAATTCTGAGTAAAAACAGTTAAAGAATGATGGATATATCAACCAATGTTTATTTTTTATAAAGCTCGTACAAATAATCAATAATCTGTATGCCGACCGTTAGCTTTTTTGATAGCCTGTAATCGAGATGCATAGGAACATAACAGGTTTTCAAAAAGTTCAGTATTTGTTTCCATACTTTCTAAGACATCGCATATGTGGTTTTTCAATGTTTCTTCACGATGGAGATCATTTTCGGTGTCAGATACCATTCTTGTCTGGACTTCATCCTTCAGTATTGTTCCAATGTGTTCAGCTGTATTGAGATCAGATGAATTTCCGGGCCATATATTGTTACCCCAAAAATTGATATCGTTGTCTTGGATCAATTGCTGGGTCATATTTACTTTCATGCATGGGGCTTTGTCATGAACAAATGTTACTTCATCCATATCAATGACGTTTTCTTCATTTTTGAGGAAAGGAAAGACGTATCGGACCAAAATTGTATCACGAAAGTATTGACCTGTCCAGGATTCTCTTTTATCTTTGATTACCCAATGCAATTTTTTCGCGGTAAAAATAATGAAAATACCGATGCATGCTTGATTTTGTACCATTTTGCGATATCTTTCGTCCTCTTCAATATCTTCGATAGATTTAGCCCAAATCCTGTCATTTTGATGATTTGGCTTGCGAATACTCCAAACGAAAAATTCATCAGCTGGTGCAAGGTGTAAGAAGTCCTCCTGAGTCCAGTTCTTCAACCAGTCGCATAGCCATAGACGATCGGAGATATGAGTTTCTGTTTTCAATGGTTTTTGAACAACGTGGAAAGGCTTCAGTCCCATCCTATGTCGATAGTTATCGATCGTGCTTCACGTAATGATGTTCTGACTATCCTGCGATAATTTGAGGTTGCGACCACATTCAGAATAATCAGCAAAGCATTCATCGTATGCTTTCTCCCACCATTGAGTAACAAACCGGGTCGAATGATGGATTTTGTCTGCGATCCATTATCGAGTGATGAATGCTGCACCAGCATCACGAGCTTCACGAAAAGCAACGCACTTTATTCGATCGACGATTCTCTGTTGTTCATCGTCGTAAGTCCCAGCCATCGTACAGATTAAATGTATTCAATCAGCCTCAGCTAAATCACCAATCTACCATGGTCATAATTAAAAGGTACAAATGAAAGACACGATATTTACTTGCATTCCAAGTAAAATCACTTCGTTCAAAGAGAGATCACAGTTTCCTTATGACTTTGATAGCGTATGGGAACAAAGAAAGTGAAAGAAACAGCAGAAAAAATAATTCGACTCGATACGATCGTGACTGACGACTATTTCTTCGTTCTTTTTGTGATAAAAATGCTATTCGCACGTGCTCACGGGAGAGACCGGAAATAAATGATAAAGGAATGAAAGAATCATTGTCTTGGGCATTCAAGCAATGTGTTTTGAAGTTATTGGGTAAATTCCCTATGAATTCTATGACGATATACATTCTCTTTTCTGCTGTATTACCTTCTGTTGCAAAGTCGATACAATCGTAACTCTCAAAATTCTGAAACCTTTCTTAGTTCTATCATTGGTTCCTCTCTTATAGAAAATCAAAACATACCCCTAAACCCCGTTTTTGACGAGCTTTCATTTGGTATAAAATTCATTGTTCATATTACTAGTCGTTAGGGCTGTAACCCCCTGGAAAAACATTTTTGGCAACCCTGTAGAAGCAGTTTATCATTCATTAATAACTTCCAAAGTAAACTAAATGCCTTTGGTATTAGAGAGTAGATCGAGCTTAATCTAGAAACCGAGTTGATTTAATGTCATATTTATAATGATCACTATCTGGCTTGGTCATTGTGTCGATTTTGTTAGGAACGATCTGACCTCTACCAATGTTTTAATTTGCTCTTGCCAATACGATTCGCAATTTTGTTCTTGTGAGCTTTATGGATTCAATAATGTCGTACATATATTTTCAATTATTGTGAAAATTCTCACGGATAGATCTTCAAATTTCTTTTTCACTGTTATCACTTTTTCTTCTAATACTTTCACCTGTTGTTTTGCTTCATCATAACGATTCAGCATTTCTTGTTTTAATTCTACCAGTGCATGACGGATTGAGTTGGATTTTTCTTCCGCGTTTGTTAAAATATTATTCAATTTCTTAAATACTAATTCATTTGAGTTTGATGGCGTCATTTTAATCACGTTGGCATACGATAGTTCACTTGTTGCAGTACTAGACGGCGGGATGTTGTTGAGTACTTGATTAGAACTTGAGTTTTCCACATTTGCTGGAATTATTTTTGACAAAAGATTACAAGTGAGCGAAGTCCGATAGTCTTGCATCACTTTGCATTTTGAATCATTTGAAATGTGCGGTCCTGCACAATGGATATATTTTGGAACACTCGAACGTTGATGATCTTTCAGATTAGCACATTTTTCACCAGAAGTTTTACATATTGATTCGTTCTTTTGAGAACAATTCTTTCTGAAGTGTCCTATTTTATAATAGTTGGAGCAGATCAGTCCATTCGCTTGTGTATAAAATTCGACGACCTTGAATTTTAAATGTATAATTGTGATTTCACCGGCTTTCAGTATTTCACTACGTAGTTTCACTGACAAAAATTCCAGTTTAACTGTGCGCATCAATTGTTGCCCTTTATTTCTTAATCTAATGATTTTGGCTATACCAGAGTACTTGTCTGTTAATTCCTACAAATACTCGTTCGAGTCCATCTGGAATGATACAGCAGGAAGAACAAGAGCCAATTGTGGCGGAATATATGGTATTTTTGTTGTGTACTTAAAGCCTTCCAATGTCGATGGCCAGTTATCATAACTATGCAGGGAAGGCGAAGGATTCGCTATTCTCGACGAAGATCAAGATGTGACACTCGTTGTTTTCTCAACGTCCACGTCGATAGGCTACCATTTTTAATTCAAAGTTAAAATTTTCACGTACATGATTGGCTAGATCGTTGATCACAAGTTTTGTCACGAACTTCTTGCGATAAGATCACAGAGAAAGGTGACAATGCAAAGCGCTTGGTGGCAACACGATAAGCTGCTACTTTAGGTTGTTGTAGATTATCTGGTAACTGTACTATGGGCTGACCCATGTCGTGAGAATCACCGCGATTTTCGCGATTTTCTAAAAAATTGACGTAAAATCGTGATTTATCGTATTTCTTTAAAAGATCGACGATTATATCAGATTTTATCGCGATTATGAGAGAAGAGCTGACTTTCAAAAATCATTGATAAATCATGGCAATTATTCATTCACCGTTTTGTTATGAACACACACGGATATATAAACAACGCCGTTCAATGCATAACAAGTAAGTTTTCGAAATATACTTTTCTGATAAATTATTTCTTGGTTATTTTTAATCAAGGAAATGCCAATCCCGATCCATGATCTGGAGAGGACTACACTGAAGCGGTCTGATAAGAATCGGACCAGCTCGAGATCGGACAGATCGCACGATCTGATCGGCTTGGATCTTGAGAACAAAAAAAATTGAATTAAATTCAAGAAAAAATTCAAATATGTGTCTCCAAAAGAGCCAATGAAATAGTAGAAAATATCAGTAAACAGACGGTTAAATCTTGCATAAAATCACGATTTATCGTAAAAATCGCTGAAATAATCGGGAATAATCGGCGATTCTATCGCGATTCAGCTCACGATTATCGTTTCGATGAATTGGGATTAATCGGCAATTTTTAGCCGATTCAAAGGGCATGGGATTCATACGACGAAGACGTTTAATGGGAGTATTACTGGAGTTAAAAAATTCGAGTAATCTATGGATATTGAGGTCGCGCTTGAATATTCTATTCTGAAACACTAGTGGTGTCGTTGTGTCCTCTGTCGGTACTAGCTGATATTGACATTGAAGATACTGTTATATTGGTCATCCATGATGAAGGCAACTCCATAATATGAACCGACGGTTGGTATGTTGATAAAAACGCGTGTTATTAAGTCATGTTGAAATGTAACATTGGTTGTTGTGCACAAGCAGACATCATGTTGTTATTTGACGATAATTGTTGTTGTTGGAGTTGATGATGAACAATTAGACTAGCTACTGAATATTGTTTGACAATCTGGCTATTTGCCAATTGTTGCAAGCAGACGTATGGTTGAGTATTATTAATCGGTTGAATGTTTACTGGAGTAGTAAAATAGACCAATTGCTGTTCTTTTGTTGTTTCATTATTAGAAGCCAAGGTAACATTATTTAATACTTTATACCTATCCGAATTTTCATCGAGCATATAAAGTGGTGGCTGTAACTCCATATCGTTGTGTGGATTTTTACTTAAGGAGGTCATTTACCATCAGAATCAACAAGTCTTAGACTTAGATTTTTGTGAAAACGAACCATAGAAAAAAAAGAACAAAAATGCAGAACAAAAGCGGCAACGACAAACACGTCTCACCACTGCAAGCGTGAGTGAAGGAATGAACAAATATTTTCGATATATTATTCGATTCTCTGTTTATATTCAACCAAGGTTAATAATTCATTTCTAACGAAAATGAAACATTGTTTCATATCGAACACGTTTAGTCATTTACTAAACATTCTCATTGAAAAAACTTGTCTATGAAACAATAGAATGATATTTGATCATAGTGAGAATGTCGAATAGTAGAGTGAATTGTTCTATTTCAAATTGAATAGGACAAATTACTTTTACATAATACTTATGAAAAAATGTTTTCAGTTAGTTTATTCTATATAATTGTTCTAAGATCCTTATGTATATTTGTTGATCAGGATTCAAATTTTTTTCAAACGATTTACCATTTACTTTTGTTATCAAAGTATATTCTATGGTTGGTTATGAAATTTCAATTGCTAAAATTCTGGTATAAGAGTTAGCTATTTACAAATTTAAAGAGTGCTTTCTTTGAAACTATTTGAATTTTTAATGATAGATCACAAAAATGAAGAGTATAGTATGTGATGATAGTTTAAAATGATAAATAGTTGTTTCGTTGATCATAGTAATAAAAGCAGTAAATCTATGAATGTACAAAATAATGAAAAGGGTAAAACAGTAATCTAATAGAACTTTTAGAGTTTTTCATTTATTCTGAATAGATTTTTTTAAAAATATTGTGTAATAAAGAGAAATTGTAAATATCCTATATATTCAAACTGTTAAGATAATTAAATATAAAATCTAATAGTCGATCAAAATGTTCATTTTAACGTTGACAAATAGAAAAAGAAATTAATATGACTTTCGAAAGTAAACAGCACTGACAAAAATAACAATTTTTTTCTTTTATATTTTTCAATAAATGATACTTTCAAGATAAACTAACAAATTATTTGCCCGTCAGTTGTGACTTCTGAAATGTAAGCGGATATGAAGATGCTTTGCATAAAACTGAAAATAAAATTTTTGAATCGTCTCAATCAATAAATGATATGATTTTAATCTATTATATCTGTATTGTTTTAGGTCTTTATCGAAAAATATTGACAAATTTCAATCATTGATGCTTTTTTATTATCTTTTAATTAATTATTGATTTACTCTCAATGAAAAAAAGAAAAGTCGACTATTGAAAATATTTCATGTTTTTAAATGTTGAATATGAAAAGAAAGAAACAAATATAAATAAATTTAACTATTTACATATATATTGAGATAAATTAAATAATATGTTCAATAGAAAGCAGTGAGTTTTCATCAATAGAAATTTTGAATCTTAAAGGATCATTTAATGTTTGAGATCGAGAAGAAGGAAAAGATGCTGCATTAGCAAATAAAATTCCATTATCATCTTTCCAAACTCCATAATCTTGATGAATATGACCAAATATTGAAATTAAAGGTTTTATTTGATGTAATCTTAATTCTAAATTTCCTTCTAAATCAATATGTAATCCATTTGGTGAACAAGGTGGATTATGTGTTATAACAATATTTGAATTTGAAGGAATATCCAACCATGTTGATTCACCTGTAGGACGCCATGATGAACCATATATATGAAGATAATTATCAATTATTATTTGTTCATTTTCTAAAAATTTTCCATTATTTAAATATGGAGTTAAAATCGAATCATGATTTCCCCCAATAATTAATTTATGTTTAAATGGAAGTTCACTTAACCATTGATCAAAATCATCAAATGGTTTTGAACCACGAGCAAAATTGGTTATATCTCCAGCATGTATAAGAATATCACCACAATAACTTGATTTTAATCGTTCGGTTAATTGACGATGTTTTTGATGTGTATCACTTATACAAACAACTATCCAACATTTACTTATTAATGACATTTAAAAAACAGGAATTTTATTTATTCGTAAAATAGATGAGAAATATTTATTTCAATGAATCATCATTATTCATTAGTCAATATGATTCATCAATGTCGTTTTATTATTTAGTTTGTTTTTAGATTGAAATTTAATCTAACAAAAATATATTATGTTAATGTAAGATGAATTTTATTATAGAAAATAACATATGTAAACAATGTAACTAAGGTTTAATACATGAAGCAGACTTATAATGACATATTGTGCCATTTGGACAACAATGTCGACCATCATCACAACATACACCCTTAAGAACAATAAAAAACAAAACATCATACAAATAATCAATAATAGAGAAATATAAATAAAACCTTACATGTGAAAAAGTACAACAAGCATAGCTATTCGAATTTGATTGAGAAATTTTGCAACAAGTTTGATCAAATGGACAATATTTATTTGACGATCCACATTTATTTAAACTTTCATTTTTCATTTCTTTTTTCTTAGTTAAATTAAAATTTTTAATACATATTAAATCTGATTTATCACATGAATAACCATTTTGACAACAATCAATCTAAATGATTTATTACAAAAAAAAACCCAAATTCATCTTTTTATTTTTATTTTAACAAACTTTATTTGAACAAC